CGCAACAGGACCGACAGTTTTTGGCAAGGGCCCGCGCTACATGTATTGATGCTATTCCTCTTGATGATTCTGAGTTACACGATCCCGAGGAAGAGTTTCGACAAGTGTCGGTATCTACTAACCGTGTTCAAGTTCGACATTCTCCTTATCTTGACAATTACTGTGGCCATTTTCCGATCCGTTTAACTGTTGACAGTGGCGCCACCGGTAATATGATTCGTACATCAACTGCAGCACAACTGAACGCAAAAATCACTGCTAGCTCCCAATCCGCTCACCAAGCCGATGGTTCCCCTCCTTTAAACATTGTGGGTGAAACTAGGATAACATTTACACGCGATGATCATAACCTGTATTTTGAAGGGTTAGTTGTCGAACACTTAGATACAGATGTTTTGGCCGGTATTCCATTCATGGAGGTTAATGACGTTACCACACGACCAGCTCGTCGTGAGGTGTCTATTCGAAATGACCACATATACTACGGCTCGCCAAGAACTTCAGCCCCAAATCACGCTATTCGTCGTGCTCACGTCGCACGTGCTCCTTCAACCTCAACTACTCTGTGGCCCGTATACTTTATTGATGTTATGTTACCGTCTGACATGCGCTCCACAGGCAACATCTTTTCGGTTGAGCCTCATACTAGGGACTCGGACAACAATTCTTGGCCGCAGCCATTTTTGTTTTCAAGCGTTGGTGGAAATTTGCGAATACCGAATTTATCAAACGAACCATTGCTTCTTAAACGAAATGAACATTTTTGTCACGTACGCGCTACTAACTGTCCTATTGGGAATGAATCTGAGTCTAAAGCTCTACCTAACTCAGCAAATGCAAACATGAAAAAGTCAACACATTCCGATCAAGTCCGTGTCTACCAAGATGACTTTTTGTCAACATGTATGAGAGATCAGTTTAAATCGCTACTTATAAAGTATGATGACGTCTTCAATCCAAACTTTAAAGGTTATAATGGTGCATTGGGTCCATTGGAAGCGAAGGTGAATATGGGTCACGTGCAGCCTCCTCAGCGAAAAGGACGATTACCACAATATGCAAAATCTCAGTTCTCTAGTCTCCAGGACAAATTTGACGAACTGGAATGTATCGGTGTCTTCAAACGCCCCGAAGAGTTGGGAATCACAATCAAGTATTTGAATCCGTCCTTTCTTGTAAAGAAACCGAATGGTACTTTTCGACTAGTCACAGCCTTTGCAGATGTTGGTAGATATAGCAAACCTCAACCGTCATTGATGCCTGATGTCGATTCAAGTCTCAGGTAAATTGCGCATTGGAAGTACATAATTATTACTGACCTGACAAAATCCTTTCACCAAATTCCACTGTCAAAAGACTCCATGAAGTACTGTGGTGTATCAACTCCGTTCCGTGGCGTAAGAGCTTATGTACGTTCAGCAATGGGAAGTCCTGGTTCTGAAACAGCTCTTGAAGAACTCACGTGTAGAGTGTTAGGACACCTAGTTCAAGATGGTATTGTTGCTAAAATCGCAGATGATCTGTATTGTGGCGGAAAGACACCAGAGGAGTTGCTCACAAATTTCGAACGTGTCTTGGAAGCGCTTCATTCATGCAGCCTCAATTTATCAGCTACTAAGACTATTATCACACCTAAACGAGCATCAATTCTCGGCTGGATATGGGAACAAGGGAATATCCGTGCAAGTCCTCATCGTATTTCAACGCTTTCTACAGGCCAACCGCCTTAAACTGTCACGGTTATGCGCTCATTCATAGGCGCATACAAAGTGCTTTCTCGGGTCATAAAAACACATCAGAAATACTATCTCCTTTAGAACAAGTCATAGCTGGAGGTGAATCAAAATACTCTATTGTTTGGACTGGCGACCTAGTAAGTGCGTTTTCTAATGCTCAAATGGCCTTATCTTCCAATCGCTCAATAAAACTTTCCCGTCCGTCTGATCAACTATGGATTGTAACGGGTGGTGCTTCGAAAAGCAGAAGTCTCGGGCTACTCTTACATCAATAGGAAGGATAAGCTTCATGTACCTGGTTTCTTTAGGGCAAGACTCCGTCAGAACCAGAATCGTTGGTTACCATGTGAAATTGAGGCATTATCAATCGCTGCCTCAATAAAACACTTCAGTCCCTACATTATCCAATCGTCCACATCTACATGCATACTTACCGACAGTAAGCCATGCGTTCAAACCTTCGAAAAACTTTGCAGAGGGGAGTTTTCATCAAGTCCACGTGTCTCTACATTTCTTTCTACCGCAAGTCGCTTTCAAGTTTCAATTCGCCATGTTTCTGGAACAGTAATCTTACCATCAAATTTCGCTAGCCGTAACGCACCTGAATGTTCGAATCAAAACTATGAAATTTGTTTGTTTATAAGTCAGCAGGAAGAATCTGTTGTGCGTCATATTACTAATGGAACCGTAAAATGTCCGTTTACAAGTAAATCGGCTTGGTTATCCATTCAATCAGAGTGTGCTGATCTCCGCCGTACTGTTGCGCATCTTCGCCAAGGCACAATACCTTCAAAGAAGCTTACAAATGTAAAAGATATAAAGCGATACTTAAACACAGCCTCGAGATGGACTCATTATTGTTAAAAGAAACCTGCTGTTTATGCCAAGTCAGGAATTTATTGTGGTTCCCCGACAAGTTCTGGACAGACTTTTGACCTCTATACATATAAAGTTGGGACACCCTTCCGTCAGCAAATTAAAATCCGTCGTACAGAGGTACTTTTATGCTTTGGATATGGACAAATCATTAGACATGGTCATTAAAGGTTGCCATCAGTGAGCATCCCTGGCAAAGGCACCGAAAATGCGGGATTAGCAAAGCTCCGAAGATCCACCGGAAACTGTTGGATTGGCTTTTGCTGCCGATGTAATGAAGCGGGAACGTCAACTCGTTTTAGTAGTTCGAGAATGTGTTACCTCGTTTACATTCACAAAGTTGCTAGAAAGTGAGCGCCATCATGACTTACGGGATGCTACCATACAATTATTGGCAGAGGTTCACCCGCTGGATGGTCCGTACGCTAAATAATCTACGATAAAGGTCGGATATCTTAAAGTGTATGTTATTGGCATGTTCCTTTTTCCAGGCTGAGCAGGTTAGACATTGCATGTTAGATACTGTAACAGCAGATGCCGGGTCAGAATCTAATTACGGCATTTCTTTTAACCATATTTCCACCGTGATGTCATTTGGCATTTGATTCATATATCCTAATAAATGCTTGTTCTTGTTTGCATGCCTATTATATTAGTATTACACAAATTTAATACATTACTTTGAATTATCTCTTTCCTAAGGTAAAGTGTTCTAAAATATCAGTGTCTAGTTTGTTTTGAGTTAATGCGGATTTAAGGTGAGTTTATATTAATATACAAACGCAGATGTGAACATAAGGCAACAATTTTGTGGCTTTCTATGAATGGCGACACCTTTCAAAAGTAAAATAAAAACTAAATATCCAAAGGGTGATTATACAGAAAAATAACTTATTTCATTACGAATATTTCACCATATTATTACCGCACAAAGGGAAAATTTTGACACTTTGATAAGATATATGTATTTAGAAATAGACAACACAACACTTCGGTTATTATAAATCGTTTTGTTTCTTCTTTTTTAACAATTTTAAGTCATTATAACGCTGAAGCGTTCATAACAATGAACATAAATTTGGAGGAATGGTTGAAACGTTCCTAAACTTAAAATATTTTTATGACAATAATCAGTGTGCTTCAACAAAACATATTTATACATGGACTAAATAGATAAAATTGACATAAAACTTATTTAATGATCATGGAATATAATATTTATACATCATTAAAATGAATATAATACACGATTATGATATTTTTTCTGATGACATAGTCAAGCGGGTATTTAAATTATAAAATAACAAGTTATTAATATCATTCTGGAAGACGGTGTCTGATACGGAGGTGCTTCATTCAAACTGTAAACTGAAGGAAAGAAAGGTATTTTATTATTTAATTTATGTTCACTCGACTGTGTATGAAGCTATAGCTATTATTTTATAAAAATACTATCCGTTCTTGCTCAAGGATCCCTGGTAGAGTTTAAACCCACGCGGCGGATCACTATTCCGACGCGTTGTCTACTTCGCCAAAGGTGTTTTACGTTTATAATTTTATATATTATCGAAACGTAGTAAATGTTCCTTTGACTTTTCCAACGCGTAACAACTTGACCAAAGTTTTTATACATTTATCTATACATGTATAATTAAAACGTGATAAATGTTTATGTGCAGTTTTAAAATAACAAAATAGCATTCAAAGGCATATTATTCCAAAGCAATGTTTAATGTTTCAAAAGTTTGCTTTTTCAGTATCATTTTTTATACCTCTTCAGTTAAAAGGACACATTGGCCAAATGCCTAAACAATATTTTATTTTTTTGTTTTGGATTTTGTAACATTAAAGATCCTGTAACACATTTTTTTCATGGTTTTATTTCATAAATATGATGCTCAAATTAAGATTTATCAATATTGTAAGTTTCAATAAGCATTATTTATAAAGATATTACCGAATTTAACATTTCATGTAAATAAAGGGAGGTAATCAGAAATTTATTTTCTATAGATTCTAAGTCAAATTTTCCAATAAGAAATGAATGCATATGATTTATTGATTAAATATAATGTGCACAAATATTTGCAGTACACATTTTACATATTCTTCGATGTTTGAAAATTGTTTTATTTGCATAATTATATACATATATAATGTTTTGCAAGTGTGGCATACACACAGTAACAATTCAATCACAAAACATACAGGATCTTTAAGTAGACTTAGAAAAAAGTGATTTAGTTTTTTGTATGAGAGTCAGATTACCTCTTTGTTTTATTGTTGCTGTATGTTTGACAAAGAAGCTAACATTTGATATAAGATTTCGTTTTATTTAGTCACACGTTCAGTTAACATTCTATAAACTAGTGATCATGCGCAGGAAAATACAAAATAATGCTTCCAAACAAACATCTATGCAATTTTCCTCTAAAGGGAATAGAATTCTAATAATAAACAAATAAATAACGCTATTTTTTCAAATTGACCGGCAGCATGAGGTTTATGACCAAGTTCAATATAACTAGGTCTGTATCTCTAGGTTTTTTTCCATTAAATCTTTTTGGGATTTCTCTACCTTTATTTTTCATTCCTTTATTAGTATTTAAATAAAACACTGCACTCATTAAGTATTTGAAAATCATTATCAAACTAGATCACAATTCGGACAATTTTAGTATTTAAAATATGGCGAAAATACCAACTTATTAGTAATAAACCAATTAATAAATATTGCTATTTGTTAATATTGGTCATGAGGCCCATGAACAGGTTCCTTATAAATAAGTCTGTATTTCTGTATTTTTCAATATGATCGTTTTGCTCTTTTTCTACGATTTCCTTTATCATCAGATTCCAACATTTTATTTTATTGATCATTGTGATACTATTTATTGCTAACTGCATAGGTGAACATCCCTGCTATAAATGATTCTTGAACACATGCCGACAAAAAAATCCAAAAACATCTTCTTCACATTTTAGAGCAAAAATGTTTTAATATGCTTTTTAGTAATAAAATGAAAAATGTCTCTGCAACTATTTTAGGTCTTCTATAGATATGCTTCAACGATTTCTTATTATTCTCGCCTGCTTGAGTGAGGGACAATGCCTATCTCAATTTATTCCTCCGATTTATAAGCGCCTACCAGATTTCATTCCTGAATTTTGTCCAGGTGTAAACATCTGCTTGAATAATACATCCATCAAAGCGGCTGCAAAACATTCCTGTTGTGAAAGTAAGTTAATACGACTGAATGTTAATTTGTTGATGGGCTTGGTATGGTATTGAAAGTTTTCATATCTAAACATTGATCGACAATAGATGTATAATTACTAACATGTATACTGAAATGACAAATGTGATTGATGAGTTTTTTTACCTAAGCACTATCTGCACAGGACAGATTTTCCTATATCTTAATCCTTAGAAACATGAATTAACAATATTAAAATTCTGATATACATTAGTTACAAATATTTTGCCTTTCATGCGTGTAATTTTGATATTATAAATTTATTGGAGATGTGGCTGTGGCGGAAAACACGACATGAAACTAAATCAAATGAAACACACGCAAGCAAAAGCAAGCGTACACATTAAACAAAAGTACGTTCCTTACTAACAGTTATGTTTCTGATATTTAACAGGATGTTCTTGTCATTCTGACTGCGCAACGAATGGTGGCTGCTGTTTTACTGAATTATTGCAATCAAATCCCAGTGATAAAAGAAGTGCCTTCCAAATAGAGCGTTCCTGTCTGTACCCTGTGCTTCCACGACCAAAAGAGGATGAAAGACATCTTTATCAGCCCTTTTTAATGATATCTTCTTCTATCAATAAAGAAAATATAAGTAGTTCAAATGAAATATTAAATAAGTCTTGTGGGGATACACAAGTAGCTCCCTGGGGTAGCTTGTATCCCGTCTATTCGGCAAAATCTAAACAAATATATAAAAATATTCAGTGTGCAAAAGCATATAAAATCACTGACGGCATACCCTGGAATGCTATCATAAACTGCTTTGAAGATGAAGTTAACAATGCAATAATTGGTCTTGAAATAAATAAGATTCCTGAAAATTGCGAAATTAGTTTTTATTACTCTGGCAATATTGATGACTTAAAAATATCAAAATGCTATTCATCTCTCATTGATACATGCCCCGAGTCTTTGGAATTTCAGACGCCAGAAGGAACAAATCTTTCTAAGAGTGAAATTGTATCATTATGCACAAGTGGACTTATGTCGCCATTTCAGGATAGGAAAATGTATGCCAATGTTTTTTGTTTTATCTGTAATGGTGAATACTTCAGTAAATCTTTGGTTTGCCGTAAAATATCTGATGGTGGCTTCAAGGGTGTAAAATCAAAAGGATTCACTGCTTTGATTGACAGTGATTTAATAGATACACTGAATGATAACCACAACGTTAAAGAAGTAAGCTTACCAAAGGCATGTTCTCTTAACGATAACGTAAGTCTATTTTATTCAAATAATTGTTTAAAATTAATTTGTTAAATGACTCTTTTATTTGCTTCAAATGAAAAGTCAAAAGAAGCTTTAATCAACTTTAAAGCCAGTTATGTTTGTGATTAAATTTATTTCATTTTTTATGTTAAAATCGTTCGTATTGCAACATTTCATTTCTTAGGATGTATACATGTATGGTCTAATTTCAAAACAGAAATTAAAACTCTGTGTCGCAGTGTAATTAGCCTGACGTTAGTTTTTCAATTTTGCTCTTCACATATCTGGCACGAAATGCTTTGTGACAAATATCTTACCTATTAACATTGTTATTTCACACAGCAGGACTTAATTAAATATGTTTTATTCTGTAGGTATATTTAAAGTGATAAAATGGTCCTAAGGCAGTGTCAATTTAGACCCAATGAGCATAGTTTATATAACTTTGTACGAGACCAAAGGGGATGCTAAAAGTAAAAAATTAAAATTTGCCTAGTAGTTTGAGACACGATTTTGAGAGAATTTCAAAACAAAAGTTTTAGTAAACTAAATGACCTCCTGGGCGTGGCCATTTAGACCTCATGATTACTAATTAATTTATTCTTTTAGAGGTATACTAGGCAAAACTACATGCAGAATACAAAAGCGTTTTGTGTTGCAGTTTCACAGAAGGAAGATTTTAATGTATTTTCTTAAATAAACCTTTATAAACTAAGTGATCCAAAGGGGAGCCAATTTTTACTCAATATGCATAATTCCGTAGAGAACCACAAAGTAACCCTACATGCAAATTATCTAAGCTGTGAGCATTATTGATTTTTTTGAGAAGATGAGAAGATTTTAAGTCTATTTTAATTTCCTCTAGCATACTTTTGCATCAGATTAGATAAAACCATTGCTATCAATTTTGTAGAAGACCACTTAATATTCATATGAAGTTTTGTAAAAATTCATCAAGTGGTTTAGGAAGAAATGCTGTTTAAAAAATTGAACTGTGGGTAAAGACGATCGACAAAATACGTTTGGACAAATTGCCATCATAAAATCCACTTACAACTACTTAGAGAAGATTAAAACTATAGCTTTCTCTAGAAAATATCGAATCTGCAGAAGGGGTTCACCAAATGCACCAAATACAAAGATATTTTAAATGTCCCGGACAAAAAAAATTATTTCCCACAAACGAGACAGCTGAAAAAGTTGCCCCGTACTTCACTTCAGTGTTGTTATATTTTTCTGGTCCTTCGGGATCATTGATGCCAGCACTATTAAGTGTTGATAATTGAGTACCGCTTGTGTCTGCAATTCCAATGTTATTTTGTTGTGATAAATGCTTCCGAGGGATCACTTTGTTTCCAGATTTTTATACTTCACAACAGCAGGTGTCAAGTGCTGTGTGGCAGCTGTAAAAAGTTGCCAGTGTTGTTATTTTTTTTTGATCCCTCGGGATCATTGATGCCAGCACTATTAAGTGTTGAGAATTGAGTACCGCTCAAGCCGAGTCTGCAATTCTTATGTAATTTTGTTGTGATTAATGTTTCCGGGATCACTTTGTTTCCAAATTTGTTTATGAACTATCCGGTTAAATAAAGTAGCAAACGACGTAAAGTAACCAAACGACAGTATTAACGTGAACGACGATAGACAAAACGCGCACGACATAATAAATATTGAAAGCAGTAAATAAACAATCCGTTAAATACATTTATTATCTAAAAATTGTTTTCATTGAATTCATTCTATAATTATTTATAATAGAAGTGTCCTTATTTCAGAAACACACATGTCGGCAAGTGTGGTGTCCATCAGGGCAGCTACGAAATATAGAAGGAAGATGTGTGTATCCAAACAAATTGTGGTACAATCAATATTATGTCGTCTACGTCAATTTGACTGCAGAGAAACCAATAAATGTTACTGGTGTATTTGAATTTCCCTTTGATGCGGTATCATTTGTTTCTCCTTGGGGACAATTTCTGGTCGGTTTTACATATATTTTATAAAGAAACGGATATCAAGCTTATCTCAGATAATTTTGTTTTCGTTGTTGTTACTTATCGGCAAAGAGTAATACCAGGAAGCATGATTCAGTATATTGAAAAGACTGTTAATCAACCATGGTCACTGAATCTTAACAATGAGACTATTGTTCTGAAATCGTCAAATTTTACAACATCTACTTTATTGTATAAAAGTTTTCATAGCACCAATATGATTGTTTTTGACAACATTACATATATTTCTTACAGACCAAAGTATAATTTAAAGTACAATAATTTATCATTTTATTTGCCGACCCCACACATCATTACAAAAATGTATGTCTGCGACCAAGTTGAATTAAACCACTCAGAATTTACTCTAAGTCAGGATGAGTCCACCCTTTACTGTTACTTAACACAACGTTTCCTTTATGACGGGGAATTCATCATCATGAAGAGAAACACTTTTGACAATTTTCGTGTAAGAATTTGTATCGAAGACTCTGGACTGAAAAGCATGAATATAAAGAGAAACAGCGGCACCATTCTTGATGTAATTGACAAGTTCAGTTCTGCATTAATAGTGATTGTATATGTTCTTTATATCAATGAACAATTATAAATATGTTTCCCGATACGTGTGTGGAAATATACAATAAGGAATGACAAAAGAAAGTATATGTTTACGTTCACGGACCTTTTGAAGATGTAGATGTTCTATATTCCAACCAAAGCAGATGTCTTGAGATTATCTATAATTCTTGATTTATTTTTCGAAAATTATCAATTTAAAGATTTTCTTGTTGACCCTTATACATATTTGTATATTTGTTTATTATAACTCTTAACTTTGTATATTTGTTATTCGTATTTGTTTTGTAGTGTTTTTTCAGAAATGATCAATTATTGTATTTGCTTCCCGACCTGTTTGCATTTGTATATTCTTGGGGTATGAAACTCTTAACAGTTCGTTGTTTTTTGTTGTTCTTTGGTAGTTTGTAAAAAAAATAATGTTTTCAAAAAAGACTTGCCGACCTACCAAGTATATTTGTATATTTTGATTTTCGTGTAACACTTACTTTTCTATTGATGTTTTCTGGTGGATTTTCAGAAGGATACATTTTTAACAATTACTTGACGACCGATACAATTTTAAGATTTTCTTTCCGATTTTTACGGATTTGTATATTTTTAATAAATTCAAACATAAATACGTAGCTTGTTTTTCACATGATTTTGTTAATTGCAATAAAACACCGTTTAATTTGTAAATGTCATTAAACACCGTTCTAGTTCATTATACTTATTTTATTCATTATTGAGTTTTATGAAATGTCTTCTGCGGATGGGGTACCCTGTTAAAGCCCCGTTTTAGGGTATTTTGAAAATATGATTGGTAAAGTCCAGGCGATGAACCGGAAGACATTGCCAAACTTTTTTTATTGAAGTATGTTGCTGTAAAAAACGGCGACAAAAAACAAACAAAAAAACACAAAAAAACAACACACGCCAGATATACTTCCATCAATTAAATCTACCTTGAATGCACTGTCCTCATTAGAAGGTTTTTTATGATATCGTTTATGGAAATCAAAAATTAAAATAATTGGGATTAGTAAGGGAACTTGTCAATGTGTTTAACATATAATCATTTGCCACGCAAAAGGCATGTCATACAAAGGTTTTCGTCTAAAAAGCTAGATTTAACAACAATGTCAATTCGTTTAAATTCCATCGTTACAATTTTCTAAAGAGAAAAAAACCGGACCTTTCTCATAATTGTTATATTAGTAATAACACTGAAAGGACTTTCTGTTGCTATGCAATAGACATAATATAAATGCCGTCTAGGAATATGTGTTCTGATTGCTGCTTGAATTGGTTAGTTTTCTAGAATCATTCAATTTCTCGATATATACCATGAATCCGAATAAGAAACGATTGCGAGCAATTAAAACTAATATATGGCGGTGTAATATTTTTATTGGTATATCGCACTAATTGGGAGATAAACTGTTTTAACAAGAATTTATTGTGATGTTTTCACATGATCGCTAAATATGTGTTAATTGTGTACAGAATCATCATTAACAGAATATACTGTGCTGGGTTTAAAGGAAATACAAATAAAAAGATTTAATACAAAGTTCTTGGAAATGATGATATAAAAACACTAACAAGATTGTGATTTACAGGAACCTTTAGGTTTTTTAAAGACATAAACAATATGTTTAAAGGAATCGTCACAAACTGAGATCATTAATGAAGTTTAACAATGTTTTTTTTTGGGGGGAATTGTTCGTTTAATTATTTGATAATTTTGTACATTTTTGTTTTTTTTTTGTTTGCGTTCAGTGCAATGTTTACAACAATTTTGTTTAACAGTATCAAGTTAAGAGCAACAATAGCAGAATCAACAAAAACAGAAAACCATTACAGCACAATTACTTTTGTCCATATATGTCAAAAGATATTTAAAAACATGTTGTGTGATTTTAAAAAAGGTGTTTTATTTACTACATTACTTTATAATGAAAAATCTCATAAAAGCGTCAAAGTTATTGGCAGAAAATGACGATTGGATGATCAATTGATTGATAATAGTATTGCCTTGACTGTCAAATGATGATTTTATTTCATGCACTACTCTGTTGTACAATCACAAAAATATATCTTTTAGCATATATCATAATCAAACGAGCACGCCAATGCTCTTTCCACGTTCTCCACAATCAATTACAATATCTAGTGTAATGTATAACTATATCTCTATGGTTGAATATCAGGCCCCGTGTTCACTAAGATCAGGATCATGATCAAATGATCCTTTTTTATTTCCATTGTTTTATGAAACTAAAACTGATTGTATTTTACTAGAATTGAATGATATATAACCATAATGTAAAATATTGCTGATATGCAAAGATCCTATTTTAGGAAGAAACTGGCGAATATCGAAAGAAAAAATACAAAAATAATTGGATCAAAATGAGGATCAATTTTAGGATCAAGATCAATATTGGGTTCAACTGTAAAATGCTTAAATCTTTTAAAATAAAAATTAATTAATTCTAAAATTTTATTGACATGATATTTCAATAAAGTCAATTTTATCATGTTGATATTAGATATTTAATCCTTCACGATAAACAATGGATAATATTTGAGTTTTTTAAATTTGACCCTGATCCTTAAATGTTAGTGGACACGGGTCAAGGTGTTCAAGGATAAATTATAACAATGATATATATCCGAGGTTTTTTCTTATTATTTTCGCGTCCCAATTTGTACAAGTATGTTGTACAAATATCACAAGATGACTTTTAATGGAGAGATCGATTAATGCGGTTTTCCTTTTTCTATAAATCGAACGCATGGATTGATCAGTATAGCCAAAAATTATACAATTATTCAATACAGACCACATGTTCTGATTGGACAAGGTATGACAAATTGACTTCTTTATTGTACATGGACAGAACTTGTGGTGATAGTGTGATGACAACGTACCTGTGCTTGACAATCAGTCAGTGAGTTTCGGTGGTTTATTGTTTTGTGTAGAATAGTAAAAGAACACACTTATTGTCTGCATCGATTTAACTGATTTAATTAAATTTTGGTCATTTTTAGTGTAATTAGATACTTTCACAAACTAAACACAACGCACTCACATATGAGCACCACTCCGTGAGCCAACCTTTCATACAGTTGTCT